AAGCTACTAGGTGGAGGTCATCGCTATTAGGTTGGAGGCCATTGCTAGTAGGAACAAGAAGCTGCTAGTAGCAAGGTGTCTTACTAGTAGCAAGGTGCGGAGTCTCAGAGATAGAGAAACGCAAAGAGGTTAAGTTAAGGCTTTATATTACTATTTATTATCATTTTTATATTTATACAACAACACAATTCTTCTTAGTGGGGAGGGTGGGGAGGGTGTAGATTCATCGACGATTTGGACAGGTTTGGCTTCCTGAAGAAAGCATCACTTTTGAACTTCGAGCGGGCGTTTGGTTTTTTCATTAAAGATATACAGTCTACATCTTTGCTTTAACGTTATATTTTTTGTTACTGGTGTTATTATTATCCGGGGTAGGTCGCTATGAGGAAGAGGTAGGAGTAGGGTAGCCGCAGTTAGTAGCTCTATATTGGGTACCAAAAGGACGATCCTAACTGCGTGTCAGGCTTCTTCAGGGAAGCTGCCCCGCTGCCCTAAAGGCAGCGGGGGGGGAGCTTCTGTGAAGAAGCGCTTGCACTATTCGGTTCCTAGATTTTTAGGGAACATTAACTAGAAACAAGAAACTACTAGTAAAAATGGGCATCGCTACTAGAAGCAAGAAACTACTTGTAGCGGCTGGGATTTCTACTAGTAACAAAAAGCTACTATATACTTGGTTCCTATATTAGACCTTTCTTCTTCCTTTTCTTTGTTTCTACTAGCGATGGCCTCCAACCCAGTAGCACTCGCACATGTAGTTCCTAGATACGATTACTTCAGATTCATCACAGTTCAACATGAACATGATTCCCTCAGGATTCCCTGGCAAAGATGCAGCCTACGCAACTTTGGCCGCATAGATGTGGCATAGCCGGTCTCAGGGAAGACACGATCCCAAGGATTGAAAAAACAAAGTTTTAAGACGCTTGTTACTACTAGTAAGGCCCTTTGTTCCTAGTAGTTTCCTTGCTCTTAGTAGTACAGCCAGGAGCCCCGTTCGTAGCGTCCTTGCTCCTAGTAGCGATGCCCTTTGTTACTAGTAGCGTGCTTGCTCCTAGCGATGCCCTTGTTACTAGTAGCGATACGCTCTCAAAAAAGACAAGAACAGTTGTTTTTCAATGTCCTCTTTTTGGACCCCGAGGATTGAACAAGCCAAAAAGGACACAGCCGAGCTTATGGTGAAGGTCCGGAGTGAATTCATCCTTCTCCTAATTGTTTGCTGTTAGGTTGGAGGCCTTTGCTACTAGAAACAAAGAAAAAAGCAGGAAGAAAGAAAGCAGCTGTGGTGGTTGCAGACCCCAAAGGGCCGTGAAAAGAACAAGTAAGAATGGCCTCAAGAAAGAACACATGATACAGATATAGAGAAGGAAAAAAAGCAAAGAATAGAAAGACGAAAGGAAACACAGAACAAAAGAGCAATAACAAAATAAGACACCTAAGGGAACGACTAAGTAAAGGAACAAAAACAGCACAATAAACCTACTAGGAGCAAGGACGCTACTAGGGGCTCCTGGCCTTACTACTAGTAGCAAGACCGACCACTACAAACAAGGAACAAAATGAAGAAAAAGTAAAAAAGACAGGTCTAAAGGTCCAAAGAAAAAGGGGAAAGGAAGCTCAGCCCCTTTGTTACTAGTAGCGTCCTTTGCTCCTAGTAGTAAGGCCAGGATACTAGTAGTGATGCCCTTTGCTCCCAGTAGCGTCCTTGCGCAAAGGACAGAAGAACGATACAGTGTAGTTCAAGACATTTTTTCAGACAAGCGAAGAAAAGCTTTTTGCTTTCCTCCGGTTCTTGCCTGAACATTTCTTTTGGGCCCTTTATTTGGGATCACCACTGTTTTCTCGCTTCTTTACTTTTCTTTAGACCCTTTAGACCTCTTTACTATTCCTTTTATTCACAAATGCATTGCACAGGTTCAAGCTGATCAAGAAATTGCTCGTGAAAAGAGCGAGGACTGCGCTTGCGCGTGGCTGTGAAATTGAACCCCCCCTGGGTCGGGTGTCTGCAAAGAGAAAGAGAGGAAGGAAGAGGAAGGAAGAGGAACGGTCTAAAGCCTGCAGAGAAGGAACAGAACGCTAGTAGGAACAAGTGCATCGCTACTAGTAACAAGTGCCTTACTAGTAGTAACAAGGACGCTACTAGTATGATATTGCCAAAAAAGAAGCACAGGCAGAAAGGATTAACAGGCAGAAAGAAATGACAGAAAGAAAGCTGGGCAGTAAGTGGGCTAGTTGTAAGACCTACCAGTCACCAGCGCTTTTGGCCAACGACGTCTCACTCAGTTGGGAAACGACGTTCAATGAGAGAACCATGGCAGGCTTGTGCAGTTGATGAGAAAGCTGCATCAGAGGCTGCTGCAGAGGCGAGCAAGTGCAGCAATCCAAAAGAACATTCTAATCATACATAGTGTAAAGCGCGGTGATTTGTTGGTGTATGCGCTTGCTGTGCGATGAAATAGAACTCTGTCCTGGGGCCAGTTTGTTTGTTTCGTCAAGTAGGGGCGGCAGGTGCAGGCTTGGAACCATAATTCGGATGTAGTGTTGAGACATGCTGTGACTTGTAAGGCCAGGAGCCCCCCTTCATAGCCAAAAGTGCTCCTAGTAGCGATGCCTTTGGCTAGTAGCGCCCTTGTTAGAACCGAGCATCACAACTTCGGCTACGGCCCCAATGAATAAAAACAAGCCACCACCTCTTCCTTTAATTGAGTAGGAACAAGTGCATCGCTAGTAGTAACAAGAAGCTACTAGGAACAAGTGCCACGCTAGTAGTAGCAGGTGCCTTACTAGTAGTAACAAAGAAGCTACTAGAACCAAGTGCATCGCTAGTAGTAACAAGAAGCTACTAGGAACAAGTGCCACGCTAGTAGTAGCAGGTGCCTTACTAGTAGTAACAAAGAAGCTACTAGAACCAAGTGCATCGCTAGTAGTAACAAGAAGCTACTAGGAACAAGTGCCACGCTAGTAGTAGCAGGTGCCTTACTAGTAGTAACAAAGAAGCTACTAGAACCAAGTGCATCGCTAGTAGTAACAAGAAGCTACTAGGAACAAGTGCCACGCTAGTAGTAGCAGGTGCCTTACTAGTAGTAACAAAGAAGCTACTAGAACCAAGTGCATCGCTAGTAGTAACAAGAAGCTACTAGGAACAAGTGCCACGCTAGTAGTAGCAGGTGCCTTACTAGTAGTAACAAAGAAGCTACTAGAACCAAGTGCATCGCTAGTAGTAACAAGAAGCTACTAGGAACAAGTGCCACGCTAGTAGTAGCAGGTGCCTTACTAGTAGTAACAAAGAAGCTACTAGAACCAAGTGCATCGCTAGTAGTAACAAGAAGCTACTAGGAACAAGTGCCACGCTAGTAGTAGCAGGTGCCTTACTAGTAGTAACAAAGAAGCTACTAGAACCAAGTGCATCGCTAGTAGTAACAAGAAGCTACTAGGAACAAGTGCCACGCTAGTAGTAGCAGGTGCCTTACTAGTAGTAACAAAGAAGCTACTAGAACCAAGTGCATCGCTAGTAGTAACAAGAAGCTACTAGGAACAAGTGCCACGCTAGTAGTAGCAGGTGCCTTACTAGTAGTAACAAAGAAGCTACTAGAACCAAGTGCATCGCTAGTAGTAACAAGAAGCTACTAGGAACAAGTGCCACGCTAGTAGTAGCAGGTGCCTTACTAGTAGTAACAAAGAAGCTACTAGAACCAAGTGCATCGCTAGTAGTAACAAGAAGCTACTAGGAACAAGTGCCACGCTAGTAGTAGCAGGTGCCTTACTAGTAGTAACAAAGAAGCTACTAGAACCAAGTGCATCGCTAGTAGTAACAAGAAGCTACTAGGAACAAGTGCCACGCTAGTAGTAGCAGGTGCCTTACTAGTAGTAACAAAGAAGCTACTAGAACCAAGTGCATCGCTAGTAGTAACAAGAAGCTACTAGGAACAAGTGCCACGCTAGTAGTAGCAGGTGCCTTACTAGTAGTAACAAAGAAGCTACTAGAACCAAGTGCATCGCTAGTAGTAACAAGAAGCTACTAGGAACAAGTGCCACGCTAGTAGTAGCAGGTGCCTTACTAGTAGTAACAAAGAAGCTACTAGAACCAAGTGCATCGCTAGTAGTAACAAGAAGCTACTAGGAACAAGTGCCACGCTAGTAGTAGCAGGTGCCTTACTAGTAGTAACAAAGAAGCTACTAGAACCAAGTGCATCGCTAGTAGTAACAAGAAGCTACTAGGAACAAGTGCCACGCTAGTAGTAGCAGGTGCCTTACTAGTAGTAACAAAGAAGCTACTAGAACCAAGTGCATCGCTAGTAGTAACAAGAAGCTACTAGGAACAAGTGCCACGCTAGTAGTAGCAGGTGCCTTACTAGTAGTAACAAAGAAGCTACTAG